TCCTTCTTCTTCTTCTTCCACTTCTTCTTCCTTCTCTCCGGTGTCACTCTTACCGTAAGTAGTAGGTATGTGTGTGTGGGTGTGTGGGTGTGCGCCCAAGTTCTTTTGACAGCTGTATCTGCAATGCTCCCGTGATTGACAGTGGGGAACTGGCAATCCCCTCTTGTTTAGCGCACATGAGGTTTCCTGACCGTCAGAGAGGACTTGATTCGTCAGGCTCCCCAACACCGCCCAGAGTGACAGGCGCTGCTAGTCTCCTCCGGCCTGCCCGTCAGTAGTAGACAGATGATGGAATCATCATCACCGACTTAACTACGACGACGTACTTCGTAGTCCGAAGAGTGGGGAAAGGCGTGCATCGAGGGCCCCATCGCGCGCAGGTACCCATGAGGCCGTGCCAGCTAATCCATCATTCTTACCACGCAAAAGTTGGTGGAACTGGATCTTGTGAAGAAATGAACGAGGTGAGGTTTGATTGATGTGTTTTTTTGTCTCTTACTGGGTGTGGGTTCAAAGATGAAATATAGTGAGTGGTATAAGAAGTACAGAGAAGAGAGAGGAGAAGAAAACACGTTGCAAAAACATGGAGTCATCATGACTACCAAGGTACAGATGTTCTCATGTCTCTAGCATGATATATCCCACCCATAGCAGTGGCATGTCTCTCCAGCATCCTCGAGAAGAGGAAAGATCGAAAAACGGTAGCAGCGAGAGATTGAGAAATAGAAAGAATGTAGAGTGAAAAAGAGAAGCAATTCAAATCTCACACCCCACGGCCATCTGTAGGAACAATCCTTTCATTCACTTCTATCCACATAGTGGCAGTTCACACGAGAGTAAAAACAGCACGCACACAAGCTGGGAAGACAAGAAATGGATCACGGAGTGTGAGGATTGAAAAAAAAAAAATCATGTTGATGATGTACAAGTAAAACAAGTGGAAAGGCAAGACAAAATGCAGCGCAGATAAAACAATAAAATAAAGCCACTGCCAAACAACAGAATAAGCAAAAAGTTTCCAGTCCGTGAGCGCTTGCAATCTCTGATATGCTTCTTGTTTTTTTTGTACTCCTCTAAATATCCCCCCAAAAAAACATGGTGGCCGCCCCAAAAGTTAAAATAATTATGTTTTTTTTGTTTGTTCCGACCCTAAAGAGAGCTTTGCCGCAAGACCGCAAGCAGGCATAGGCAAAAGCGAAGAAGAAGTGGTTCGTGTCATCGTGTCAGACATTGGTCTGGTGAAATAGAAAAAAATGAAGTCTCCAGGACCATGATGGGTATGATGATGATGTTGTTGTTGTTTGTATGCGTGTCCCGGCCTTCACCCCAGGATTGGGTATCGTATCCTCCGATTTTATTTTTTTTGGTTTGTTTGGTTTGGTTCTCGTCGCAGGTCCTCTAGTCAACGCGCTTGCGTTTCTTAGCGGCCTCGTCGCTGCCACTCTCGGATGAGGAGTCGCTGCCGGTACCGCTGCTGCTGCTTCCGGGAACCTCGGAGGCGATCTGGAAGAGGATCTTGCCAAAGGTCTTGTAGTCATCCGGGGCCGGTGCACCAGGCACGCCTGCTGCGGAGGCATCGTGGGCCGGGGCCGTCTCGCCCTCCTCGAGGATGTTCATGATGAGGGCACCGCTGCCGTGAGTGCGGCCGTGCTGAGCAAGGTTGTCGCTGCGCGAGAACTTCTTGCCGCATTCCTCGCACTCAAAGGGCTTCTCCTGGGTGTGGAGAGAGCGATAGTGACGCTTGAGGTGCTCCTGGCGACGGAACCGACGGTTGCACAGCTCGCAGACGAAAGTCTTGGAGGGGTCATCAGTCAGGGACTGCTTGCGGCCGCGGCGGGTGGACGACTTGGAGGCACCGCCCGAGGCGCTGGGGGTGTCGGAGCCGGAAGAGGGGCTCGAGTCACTGGTACTCTCCTCGTTGTCGGGAATGCTGGTCTCCTCGACCTTGGCGTCGGTGGGGACCATGGTGACGGCGGGGTGGACGGCCGGCTCGTTGTTGGCACACTTGGCACGCTTGTCCCTGTGGCAGTCGTCGCTGCAGGCAGAGGTGGCAGGTGTGTTGGGCTCCGAGGCGAACTGGAAGCACTCCTCACCGTCAAAGCTCAGGCTCTCCTCGCCGATGAAGCTGCCGTGACCGAGGGACACGACCGAGGAGCCGGTGCCGGCGCGGGGGCGGGTGACGTCGCGGGTGTTCTGCTCGTCCAGGCTGACCAGGCTGTTGACAAAGTCCTCCTCAGACTCGAGATCCGACAGGTCTTCGAACGAGGGCAGACCGTCGGGCAGCTCCGGGTTGAAGTCAAAGGTGGGGTGGGTAGCAACGTGGGACTCGGCCTTTGGCTGAGCCAGGCGGGCCTCGTCGTAGCCGAGGGTGAGGGTGACGGAAGCCTCTGGGGCGAGAGTGGAGTGAGCCGACGAGCCAGAGACGGTCAGGTTGCGAGGGTCGCAGAAGGAGATGTCGTGCTCAGATTGGGCGTACGGCGCAGGAGACGGTGAGAGCGATGGGCACGAAGTGTTGGAGAAGGAGTCGTTGAAGGTGGAGCTGCTGAAAGAAGGTGCCTTGACCGACTGAGATTGAAGGTACACTGCATTTGAAGCTTGCTGGTTAGCTCTCTGTGTCTCCACTTTATTATATAAGGCTCGTGCCTGCGGTACCACCGCCACCGCCAATCACGAAATGTGGCCGAATGGGGAGGCAACGGTTGGTTCGCAGGCCAGAACAGCACAGCAAACGGAGCTTCTTTCACTTACTCGGCGTCATGGGCGGGGAGCCGCAGCTAGACCAGTCCAGGATGGAAGCCTCAATCGGGTCCATATGACCATTGGGCAATTCGTTCTCGTCCAGACCAGAGAACATAGGGTTCATGGGCGTCTGGAGAGCGTCGAAGCTCTTGGGGCTGCCGACAGTGCTGCCCGAAGTGGACAGAGGCGGCGTGGAGGGAAAGTAGGAGTCCACGTCCGTATCCAGCATGATGGAGGGCTTCTGGGTAGATGAGGGCATGGGCGAGCCCACGGGGGTCATGACATTGTTGTAAAGCGTGGGAGCATGGACGTACATACCCGTGGACTGTGCCACGGCGTACATGGCCATATGTCCCTGCTGGTGAGCAACAAAGGCTTGTTGACGGTCGTCGGTCTTGGGGTAGATGGGGTGTGCCACCATGGTGCTGTCCATTTTGGCTGTGTCTGTGTGTTCCAAGTTGGGCCTTGTTAGTTTCCTGCTGCCAAGAAGGTGACGACCTGCAAGCTCTGAGGGGAGCCTCTTCTGCCATACCTGAAAGCTGTTGGTTTCTTTCTTATTAGGATTTGGGTTTCTGTATAGGTGGTGCAGGTCGTGGTGTCGTAGAGAGTAACAGTTATACAGTTGCGCGAGCAGGATCCTTTCTTCTGCGTAATAGGCGTAGCCAAAGGATCGGTCTATAGGGTTCCGGTCCCTATGAGATTTGTCTGATGAAGAAAAGGAATGGACAGAGCAGTCAAGTCAAAGACCGTTCCTATTTGTTTTTGGTACAGCGTAGCTCGAGGAGAAAGGTTTGATGTTGTACAACGATGTGCCGTTTGATATCAAGAGTTGCCTTTGTGGAAGAGAGCGAGGGCAACAAAGATGTTGTGTCTATCACATGTGTTGTGTGGTAAGTGCTGCGTGTTTGGGTGTGCGTGTGCTTGATAAATAATAGAAGGAGAGGAAGGAAAACTTCGAAGAGTTATCCGAAGAAGAAATGCGAGCCACGGATTAAAGAAAGAGAAGACAAATAGCAGAGAGAGGAGACAAGGATGTCAAAATCATGGAGGAAGCAACGAAGAGGCGAACGTTGGACCTGGAGCCGGGGGCCCTTGGAGGATAAGTACTCTGGATACGTAGGACGGTACTGTACCACGTCGAGACCCGAGATCAACTGGTGCCACAGCAGTGTGCAGTGTGCACCGCCCCCCATGCACGCAAGGTAAATGGTTGATAGGCAGATGGCGAGAGAGAGAGAGAGACGAGAGACTTCGGGCCAGCAGGGCCTACGGTTGTCTCACCCATGTCATTGCCCATGGTGGACACCATTCCCAGACCAGGGATTCATCCAGCCGGACGAGACGGCTCGTGCGTCCCTTTCCAACCAGGACCCCTGCCACCGTGGCTCCTCTCTCTGGGGCAGAAGAATTAGAAAGAAGTCGAAAAACAAATAAGATAAAATAAAATAAAAGGAAGCCGCTCGGATGCGCTTGGGGCTGGTGTGTGTGTGTGTGTGTGTGGTGTGTGTGGGAGTGGGTGTGGGAGTGGGTGTGGGCGTGGGCGTGGGCGTGGGTGTGGGTGTGGGCGTGGGTGTGTGGACTCTTTTTCCTTCTTTTCAGTTGGGGGTGTGTCATGATGGGTGGCGGTGGTGTGCATGTGTACTCGTAACTCGACAAAAGAGTATCGCTGGTTGTATATCCTTACTGGTAGCAGGAGTGGTCGCTGCTCATCTCTTCAACTAATTTTCTAGAGGCAATATTCGGTACTCGTACGAGAAAGAGTAGAACCCTGTCCATCACCGAGGGATTCCTGGTTGACAGCACAGGATTAATATCAATTTCTGTTTCTCATGCCCACCGGTCGAGCTTCGTGTTGCCCTCCGTCACTTTTCTCTCTTGTCATTACGAAAGAGTGATGAAGGAAGAAGAAGTAGAAGGGGAAGAGACGAGAGGGCTGAGAGACGTATGTGTCTCGCTTCTTCTCCGACCTCTCGGTGACGAAAGAAGGCGCAGCGGGTACGTACGGACGGAGTGCTACTGGTAGAGTACCGAATAGTCGTAGTTGATGCTTCTAATTCTGGACGAGGGAGGAGGGTGTTAGCCAAGTACCGTACAAGTACTCGTAGAGTAAAACCAGCAGGCTAAAGGCGGGAAAAAAAACGATGGAAGCCTTCTCGCAATTGTGTCAAAACTGATCAAATGGGATTACTCGGGGTACACGCATGATGCATGGGGTAATGGGAATCAAGCCATGTATCACTACGTATATATGTACTCCGTCTACTCCATACTAATAGCAGCTAGTAGCACTCAGAATGAACAAGTCAAGTAACCTGACCGTAGTTTATTACGAGTATACCAGTAATATACTCGTAATACGGAGCACTCGGTATATAATAATAGCAGTAGTAATCATGCACGGATCATTATTGCGGACACGGCGGACGACGACGGCGACGACGACGACGGTGACGAAGGCGAAGATGAAGGCGAACGGAAGGACGACACAGACAGAGAGAGAGAGAGAGAGAGAGGAAGGCATACCACATCCGTACGAGTTACATCTCTCTCATCTGTGCGCAGCCAGCGAGCGGGTGGGCGCGTTTGTGCATAGCTGGCTTCTTCCTCCCTCTTTCTTCCTTCGCGGCGGATGGTGGTGGGGGTGCGTGCATAAGTCAAGTTTGGTCTTTTTTATTTTTATTTTTTATTTTTTGCACTTGCGTTGCATTATTATCTATTACGCGCCCTTGTGCCATTGTGGAACGCGATCAACGTCACAAGCAATGCATATCACGTAACGTGATAGGACAAGAGTACAAGGGAAGATTATGTACGGGAGGTACTAGCAGTAAGACTATTACTAGTGGAGGTCGTAGCAGACACAGCTCGCGTCCATCCAGCGCGCACAACACACACACGCACGCACGCACACACACACAACCCCATCTCATCCCTCGCCATACTGGCGCGTCGCGCGTCTTTGTGCACAACCATTCGCTGAGTTGTGTGAGATGTGTCGTGTCACATTATCCCTTGGGCGCGTCATTGACGCTTGCTCCCTCTCTCGACCAACAGCTTTGCACTGTTCAGCTGTCTCTCTTGGACACACACGCGCGCACGCGCACCCACACATACATATATGGTGGAGGCGTTGTTTGCCCACCAGTAATGATGAGGAGCCGAGGGGGGGGGGGGAGCAATGGGACAAAAAAAAATCATCATATGTTTGTGTGTGTATTGTGTGTGAACAAGAGGGCGGCAACGTGACCATCTCGTGATGCTGCTGATCGGCACACCCTCCCCTCCCGGCATCCCTTTGCGAAGTCTTGATTGACTGGTTCTTCTGCTCTCGCAAACTGCATATGCACACATACATGACCTGCTATAACTAGTCGGACATCGATTCTCTCTCTCTGCTTTTTTTTCTTCCTTATTTTCTTTTTTTGGTCACAGTGGCGGTTCCTGCATTCTAGTCGCATAGGACGTACGATGTTCTGCCAATAGCCGCCTATGGGGCCCCATTCACTCCAATGGTGCATCAATCGCTTGCGCACTATGACGAGGCCGCGTCGTCTCTCGCCCTCACTGGGGAGGCACGAGGCCTCCGTGACGGAGTGATGTTGACCAGTGATCGGAGGTATTAGTGCCGCGCAGGTGAGGGTGCACAAAGTACGCGCTCATCAGGTTGGCGCGTTCTTAATATCTCGGCATATGTTGAATTGCATAGTGATAGTGCAAGCAGTGATCTGTACTAAGACTGGGATGTATCGTCATGTCGTACGACTAGTAATGATACTGCTGCCACTGCAAAGTCCTGCTGCTAGTATTAATGTATTAATAGTGCTGCGGTATTACGGAGTACATACGTAGTAATACCTCGCAAACTGACAAATAATGCACACTCTCGATGCAGACTACTCGTACCTTGAGAATCAACGTTTCTGTCCCTCCTCAGCCAAAGGGCGTCCAGTCCACCATGCTATACTCGTACCCATCCTCCAAGTCCTAGTAATGATAATGCACTCGCACACCGTCGGCGGGGAGCATAACGCCTCTTCCGCGGCGTCCCGGGCATGGGTTGGATGGTGCTAAATAGCTTTCTTTTCTTTCTTTCTTTTTTTTCTAGTTTGCTTATGAAGAGGAGGATGATACCCAGTACCCTGTATTGGACTTGGGTGATTGATTATTCTCCAACGAAACGACGTAGCAGTACTCGTACAAGGTATTAGTGGAAGAGAGAGAAGGAAACGCACACTACTCGTACGAGTACATTATACCAATCAGAGCTAGCGGATGAACGAGGGAACATGGATTATGCCAAGCAGCGCAGTATCCGTCGTAGGATTAATTTTATGCGACCTCTTGATTTGGCCGTCCTCTGGGGGTTGGCTGCCTTAGTTTAATTACTAGAGCATGCGGCAGGTAGTAAGTAGCATCTGCACACCTTCCCCCGAGTCCGAGTGATTAGACACCCGCACGCACTGGAGCCAATACGAGCCCGGGCGCACAAGTGTGCCCGGGGTTTTTTTCTTTTATTTATGTCCACAGTCACCAACCAGTCACGGGCCGACGTCGGTGGTCACTTTTATATTTATCTATTAATCTTTCTTTTTTTTTTTTTTTTCTTTTTTCCTGCTCACATCTACAACCACCCTGCGAGCACATGCCCTCCGGAAGGACTCCATACAGACTCCAGTCGTCTTGACGGACCGGTTAGACGACTCGACGGGGCATGCGCAATCTTGAGTCCTCACCGTGCATCTACTGCGCCTGGGTGGACCTATGGGCACGTCCGTAGATCTCTCTGAACTTGTGCTCCATCAAGAGAGAGAGAGAGAGAGAGAGCGAGAGAGTGTGAAAGTTGAAATCCCGCCATTTCGTGCATTCTCAAGGTGGCCCAGTATTAGCGGTGACTGCTGCTGGGGCTGCTCCTGCAAAGCCTCTTCAGCTGTCGAAAGCCTATTATAGGTTGCCTGCATATTGCATATACGTTTACGAGTGATAATAATAGAGAGAGAGAGAGAGAGAGAGAGGCATGATCTCGAACGGCAGACGAATAGGCAGCTCAGATGGCCATCACAGCCTCGTATTGGCCAGGCTTAGACGGGCAACGAAAGCCATCCGCCACAAAACGAAGCATCCTGTTGCAGAACTTTGCCACCAGCGCGGCTGTTCCTTACAGTAGCCCCACCCCGAAAGTGGCTCAATCATGGGGGTATCAGTGGTTGTATTAGTACCTGTCGTACATATATATATAGTTAGGTATAATACAGTAGTATTACCTATCCTTTCTGAATATCAGTATCAGACCTGTTTGATATCATTACGTCGTGTTATATTGCCCTACCTGACGGCGACCGACGTTTTGAAGGCGAATTGATCAGTGTCGGAGGAGGAAGGTTATGGTACCAAGACACATCAGTTACGAGTGAAGCAAGAAGAGAGAAGATGATA